CAAATAAGATTGGAGGCATCTGGTTTTGGTTAAGATAGAAGGTTTAAAGGATCCAAGTGTAAGTAAAGGATATGCAAGATGGAGAGACTTAACTACTTTAACCATGCCTTGTGTAAGAGTCAAATCTCCCAAAACTATAGAAGATACTATTAAAAAAAGAGGGTAAATAATGAAGAGGAGTTGAGGACAAGTGGAAAAACTTCAGATAAAATTGAGAAAAAAGCAAAAAAAAAAAAAAAGACAAGGCAATGTTGGAAGAAATGATGCATGAGCAAATACAATCTAGCGATGCAAGAATAACAAAGCTTGAGCTAAAACTGGGTGAGGAGAAGATTGTTAGTGAAGAAAGTGAGGAGGATTTAGGAGGGATAAGTTGAATTGGAAGTTGCACTAAACTTGAAGCAATGGATATTGACTTTAACGATTACAAATGAAGCGTAAAATATTACTAAGAAAGTTTGCACAAGTTTAGCTCGAATTGTTGGATAAGATAGGGAAATATGAGGATTTGAATAAGGAATACATGAAGTTAGAAAGCCGTTTGATAAGGATTACAAAAGAACAAAGTAAAAGGAAAGGTTTTGAGTTTGTTGAAGCAAAGTTAGTGGTTATGAAGGATAAGATAAAAGTTATGAGGATAAAACTTGATAAGGAACGTAAAAAAGGTGAAGTATTTGGATGAGAAGCTAGCAAGAATAAAAAATAAAAAAAACACAAGGATTAAATAGACATCAACAACGCTGCTTCGAAGAGAACTAATATGTTGCTCATAAAAAAGATGAACAAGATGGATGAAGCTGTTGCACTTGTTCAAATTATTAGAATCAATGCACGAAATATGGAAGGGGACATCATTCGTTATTGTCGACGCTTAGCCAAAATCGATGCCTTTCTAGGGAAGATTAAGAACCGCGACTTTGCCTTTTTACCTTCGGCTAAAGAGTTTGTTGACAAAAGGGATTAAAATATTATATCTCTAAATATAATAAACTTATCAAGCATTAATGAAAAGGACTTTGACCCATCTTCTTATGCAAAATATGTCTCTTAGTGAATATGATTCAAGTAAATGACACAAAAGGCAGTACTCCTAGCAAAGCAATGTGATAGGAGGACCTATGTTTATAAGGTGGAGGCTATTATTCGTTCACAAGAAGGTTGCATCCATACCTAATATACAAATGCATTCTTATCATAATCATA